ACCTGGAGGAGTGCCCCCGATTTCAGCTTTGGTGCCCAGGGAAACTCCAAATTCCCTGGAACAAAACTGAAAATGGCAGGTCAGAGCCTGACCTCTCTGAGGAGGCGTCTTCCTTGCTGAGAAGGCATGGGCTCCGGAGAGCTGGAATCAGAGGTTCAAAGGTGGAAGGAGGTGTTAAAGGCTGAGTCCCAGGAAGGTGGGGGATGAAGCTGAAGACTCTACCTGGTGGTGGAGGGGACCGCAGGCCTCAGCCACTCCGACGTGCACGCAGCCATCCTACACCCCCCTCAGCTTCTCCAGGTGCCAGTGTTCAGCAGCCTTCCCACCACCCCTCCCCTCCGGCCATGGAACAGTTCAGCCCACTCCTGCTGCCATTTGTGGTCCTCTATCAGCCAAGACAATCCACTCAACACCCTGGCTCACACCCTGACCTTGATCGCCTCATTCGGTGACGTTGTCCTCCCTGTACTGCGCCCCCCGCGCCGCAGTCATACCTTGGTCTTGTCATTACCTGGGCCTGTAACGTCTCCATAATCTCAGCTGTAAGTATCCCACACTGCTCAACACCTCCCGTCTCTGCACATCACTCTCTCACCAGCAATTTTTCTGCTCCCCAAACCTCCAACCCCTTTGACTCAGATAGTAAGAGATCCTACCACCTTCCAACTTTACCCCACTTAGATTTTATGACCTGTTGTTATAATCGCCAACTTGCCTGCTCAAATCCCATTTCCCTCACTGTCCCTCATCATACCAGCCTGGCAAAAGCCTGGCTTTGGCTAAATCCAGCTTCCCACCTACTCCACGCCTGCCTCCATGAAGCTGATGCGGTTGCATAAAAACATGGAGTATTTATAAACACAGACTTCAAGTTGGCCATTAGAAGTACCCAGCATCTTCCTGGTCACTCACAAACTTTCAAGGCAATTATTTCCCATTTTATTCTTCCTCATTACACAACCTCCCTCCTCTTCATTTTCAACTAATAACCAACCCTCTGCTTCAGCATTGGACCCTATCTCTTCTCACCTACTCACAGACATTCCTCCAGCAACCCTCTCTCTCCTACAACATCACCTTTACCACTGCAGTGCATCACACCCCTCAGCAAGAAAACGTGTTACACTTTCTATCTTAAAAAATAAATAAGCAGAAACCTTCCCTAGTACCCAAATCAAGGTCTCTTTTTCCATTCCCAGTAAAAAAGAACCATGTAGCAGTATTCATACAAGAGGACCCTGCTGGCCAGGAGGCCATCAAAGGTGTTAGAATCGTATCAACTTGAGGCTTACGCTCGCCAAATATGGGACAAATTGAGAATCAATAAAAATAATCACTGAGAGGGAATAAAACACATTAAAATGAATTTATTCATGGTATACTGAATAAAAACTCATTGGTTCCCCTTTGGAGGATGCTAGAGAATGAACTCATTATCCTGAAAAGTGGTAAATAAAGAGTAAAGAAAGGTGCTAATCTGCCTTTCCTAAATAAATTGAATGGAAATAGAAGACAAGGCATAGCTTCTCTGTATGAATAAAAGAAACAAAGACAGTATGATAGAATTAAAATATCACCACTTTACAACCCCTAATAAAACCATGGACCTAGGCAACACTCGTCAAAGGATGCCAGCTAGAACTATATGCCTCCTGATGGAAAAACGCACACAACACTACCTATGACCTACCCCTGCCAAAAAATAGGTTCTGAATCATGTCAAGTCTGTAAGTCTAACTACCAGTTTACAGGAAAAAGTGAGGGAGGCAGAAGGACATGGTAAATGACACAGGATTGCAATGAGCAAATTTTAGAATGTGAAATATTCTATGGGAAACAAGTCGTTTCTCAACAAATAAATGCCAAGGAAAGAAAGATTAAAGAGACTTAAGCTCCTAATCTCACCATGAGAAAAAGCACCAAACAAATTCCAAAAGGGAGGGAACATCCTATAAAATACCTAACCAGTATTCCTCAAAACCGTCCAGTTCACTGAAAACAAGAAAAGTCTGAGGAACTGTCCCAGCCAAGAAGGGCCCAAGGATACATGGCAATTACATGTAATGTGTCCTGGAGGGGGTTCTGGCTCAGACAAAGAGCAAAAACATACATAAGAAAATCTGAAGACAGTGTGGATTCTAATGAGAAGCTGTCGATTCTGATTTATTGTCTGTAACAAATGTACTATGTTCACATAAAATGTTAATAATAGGGAACACTGGGTGCAGGGTGCGTGGCTTTATACTCTCATCTCAATTTTTCTATAAAATTAAAACGATTTTTAAAAACAGTTCTCCTTAGAAGACTGAAAATTCAAGAGACATATCAATCAAAGGCAATGAGTGGATCTTGTTTTGATCTTGATTCAAACAAATAAACTGCGTATCTATTTATTGGAAAATTTGGGAAATTTCAACATTGGCTGCATATTTTAGGACAGTAAGGATAATTGTGAATTTTTAGACATCATAATGTCACTGTGGTTATTTTCTTTAAGAGTCCGTATCCTTTAGAGATACTAAAATATTTGTGACAGAAATGATATAATGTCTAGGATTTGTTCAATCTAGAGTGGAGTGTGGGAGTAGAGGTGGAACCAGAGTGGTCTTGAATTCATGATGGTGGATACTTGGAGCTTTTCCACTTAACTGTATGTTTGAGATTTTTCTATAATAATAAGATAAACTTTTTTCCCTTGACCTCGTATGCTCTCCTACTAGACATCTTTTTGTCTGCAACTAATTTTTTGCCTATTTTGTCCTGTTTAATTAACTTTCTTTGTTTTGAGATAATTATAAAGTCACATGCAATTGTAAGACATAACACAGAGAGATTCTGTGTACCCTTTACCCTGTTTCCTCCAATATTAGCATCTTGCAAGACTGGACTATAGAATCAAAACTGGGATGTTAACATCAGTACAATCAAGACACAGAACACTGCCATCATCACAGGAATCTCCCATGTTGCCTTTTAATGGCCACAGCTGCTTCCTTTCCACCCCATCCTCTCCTTAACCCCTGATCACCACTAATCTGTTCCCCATTTCTACGTTTCTGCCATTTTAAGTATGTCATATAAAGTAACCATGCAATGTGTACTCTTTTCGGTCTTTTTCCATGAAGGCTAAGTTAAGATATGTAAAAATGATAGTGGCTTGGACTAGGGTATTAACAGTGGGGATCAGAGGAGATAAGAAGTGGTCAGATTCTGGATTTATTTTGAAGGTAGAGCCACAAGGATTTAAGACAGATTAAATGTAGAATATGAGAAAAAGAGATGCATCAGCAATGTTTCTGAGGATTTGGGTCCGAACAACTGAAAGAACAGAATTGCAAAGCCCAGTTCTATCAGCAGGGAGGAGAAAGCTTGGAGAAGAAGATCACATCGGTTCTGGGCATGCTGAGTTTGAGGTGCTCCTTAAACACT